GCATGGATCCTCAAGCCCTTTAGACGTGCTGTGCTCAAATCACACGCCATACATACAGAGAAATGACCAAGGTGAGATATCTAATATTGCAAGTTAGGTGATGCTTCAATTATTAGGTCAACATTTTTGACTCATAGGATTATTTTAATTCATTCATTTGACCTAAGTTTTAAAAGATTATACAATTATTATAATAGCTAATGGTTCTGAACTGTTTACCACATCTGTTACTTTTGCCTAGTTTTTAGGCGTTTGGCAGAATTTCACTAATTTGGGCTCAGGTGCACTTAAAATTTTTGAGGCAGCAAGAACAAACTTTTTTTAAGTTGAAACAGCTATTTTTTACAGTGTGTAAATCTGACACTTAATTGTATGTTAACTGCAATTAAATGCAAATGCATTATAATTTACATTTATATAAAATGGAATTAGCTCAACTTTTTGTGACCCGCTTAAGTGCGACTTGTATTTCAGTCCATATAAATTACAATATTTCTGATGTCTTTGAAACATGCTTACAGTAATGTTGCAATACAGTAGAGTTAAAACATATGAAATGTAAAATAAAGTAACACACTTCAGGTAAAATTAGAAAAAAAATAAGTGCAATTCTTTAAGCCACATCAAAAGATTATTAACACATAATGATTTAAAATGTACTTCAAAGTAATAGTCTGCTTAAGTGTGGTAAGAAACAGTCATGAAGATGTAAAGTGGGCTTTCATTTCATTAAAATGACATTATTTGCAGACTGTGAATTTTTGTTTCAGTTGTTTCATATTATTGTTTTTAAATAGTCAAGAGTCTGAAGAATCACCTAGATATAAATCAGTGAATTAGTCACGTATGACATGTATATTTGTAAAATTCAGAATTCTGTGTCGTCTTCTCTGAGCAGCTCACAATCATCTCTTTCCACTGAGGGTCAGAGAATCTGCTCTCACACGTAACAGTCTGGCTCCTATCCGTGACCACTGCACTCACAGATGTAAGTTTAATCCTTATATCCTAATATAATGCTTTCATGCTTCATAAGACTATACAATGCAATCCTCTGTTCATAATGCTCAAGAAAAGATTTACTAAAGACGGCAATTTGAAATGATAGAACTCATCAATGTTATTATGGTATTTGTTGTTTTGCTGTCTTAATGTTTATAATTAAAATGGGTCAAATTTGTTGACATTGAAATGAAATGTATTACAACACTTCCCAGTCTTCCCTGCATGATAAAACAATATTAGCATCCATTAAATATGATACGCTCCCAACTGGTATTTTTTCTGAACATGAGCATCGCTCACATCTTCGGTTTAACAAATGTCGTCCACAGTTTCCTTGCCACCCGACCAGGTCTCTCAGGGAGTGAAGAAGTCGAAATCCTCTTTAGGAGCGGGCCTGGCTGTACTTCCACCTCCGTTTGCATCCAGACTGCACCGAGCCAGCATTCCTCAAAGCCAGTCACTCGGCTCCTTCCCGACGCCGCTGACAGGAGAGCCTTTACGAAACATTCAAGTTCTTCCTGCCATTCCTCCGCAGAGAAAACGCAGCCCATCTCCGCTCACAGCCCAGAATCTCTCTGACAACAGAAACTGATGGAAATCTGCCGGAACTGTAATGCTGTTCAGCTTTTCATGGGTCATCTGGATTTATTTAGATCTCGAGGATGCTGAAGAATCACTGTTTGATAAAACTAAGTCTTAACAAGGCCGTTTTTCATACAATTTTACAACTATGATCTTTTTTATGGTATGCATATGGTTGAAATTTTAACATTTAAACACGCTTTAAGCTTATTGTTTACTATTAATAAAGGAGATTGTTGAAGTATGGAATCGTGATAACTTACTGTGATACAAATATATAGTCAGTATGATAATAGAGTCATAAAGTCAAAACATTAACTTAAATGTTGTAAGAGGGAATACTCTTTACCTTAAAATAATTTAAAGCAAGTGGATGTAAGTTTTGTACCTTGAAATACCGGTTTCCAAATCATTCTGATGGTACACTGACTTTGGTCTCCCTCAAATGTCTGTTCTGGGAGCGTGTAAGTCTGGTGACTGGGTAACAAATACTCATGTGCAGCTTTCCACTGTGATTATGAAAGTGGTGTAGTTATGACTGGTAGTCACTTAACTGTAGGGGGCTCCAAAGTCACAAAAATACACACAACTACACCCAGTTTCAGTAAGGCAGGGGTCCCCAGCCCATCAGACTTCAGCTCCACACCTGCCTGTAATTATTCACACAGCCCTGAACACCTGATTAGCAGTGCTGGATAGTACCTGATTACATTTCAAAATCCAGTTCCAAAAACGAAGTACTTGTAATTAGATTATATTATAATCAGACTACAGTTACTTTTATATTGATTGCATGATTACATATTATTCACACAATAGCAGTAAATTATACATAATTTATAGATTCTCCCTAATTCTTCTTTTTCATCTTTTAAATGCACTTTTCTATAGTAGCGTACTGCTTATTTGTGACCCTGGAGCACAAAAGCAGTCTTAAGTCGCTGGGGTATATTTGTATCAATAGCCAACAATACATTGTATGGGTCTAAATTGTCCATTTTTCTTTTATGCCAAAAATCATTAGGATATTAACTAAAGATCATGTTCCATGAAGATATTTTGTAAATTTCCTACTGTAAATATATCAAAACTTAATTTTTGATTAGTAATATGCATTGCTAAGAACTTAATTTGGACAATTTTAAAGGAGATTTTCTCACTATTTTGATTTTTTGCACCCTCAGATTCCAGATTTTCAAATAGTTGATGTATAAATCTTAATTAATTAAAAAAAAAAGATTGACCCTTATGACTGGTTTTGCGGTCCAAGGTCAGAAGGTCTTCCAGTCTCTAGTCAGGTGGCTATAATTACACAGAAAACTGAGAGGCCACACAGCATTTAACATCATTTAATTTTTAAAAGGTTATTTATTTTTAGTTTATTTTATTTGTTTGTTTTTTAATCTTTCTTCACAAATCCCAGTTTGGAAAACCGTAATGTAATTTTGTAACGATGTAATAATGTCACCGTAATGCAATGACTGGAATTTTTTTTCTCTCTTTGTATTTTTATATCAGTATGGTGCACATTATCCTATTCAAATCAATTTAAATTAAACAAATTTTTTTTTCAAAACTAAAAGTAATCAAAAAGTAGTATATTAGCTGATTAAGTAGCATATTACTGATTATATTAGCTATAATATGTGGTGTAATGGATTACATTACAATTTTTCTCATTTAACTTGAAATCAGTAATAAATTACAATTTGCAAGTATAGGCCTAACCGTTGATCAGCTGCTTCAGGTGTGTTTTATTGGGGTTTGAGATGTACTCTGCAGAAGGAGCAGGCTGCATTATCTGAGATGAATCACACAAAACCAGGCAGGTTTCGACAGTGCCATAGTGTTTACACTCTTCAGGAAGCCAAATTACTAATGGATTACAGTGGTCTGAGGATATATGACTCATGAGAAACAGGTCGTACGGATTGTTATTTAGTTATTATGTTATTTATTGTTATTTAGATATAGCTTCAAGCAGCAGTGTATTCGCTTGCTGTGTAAATATGCTTAGTTTCTTTATTTTGTTCATAATGATTTCTTCATCATTAGCTAAGAAGTCAATTGTGTTACATTACATAAAAATCATGAACTAAACACAAACTCGGCAGAGAAAGTGTGAATCAAGTGTAGTGGGACCACTTAAACTGGGTTAGATTTGTTTGGTTTTGTCAACTCAAAACCAGTCCTGTAACCAGGCCCCGTTTCTAAAGGTACAACATGGGTATAGATATGATATAGAGTATAGGGTGAGCGACACAAACTGATAACTGCTGCTTTGGATAAATATAAATAGTTGAGTTGGGTTCAGCAACTTATGTGGATGATATCTGCAGTCAAATAAATATCCACATATATAAAGACACTGGATAGAAGCAGATTTGTACAGCAGCACTCTTTATAATAAGATGTATGTTTATATTCCCTGGGAGATTTTCAGTGGCACAGAGATGACTTGTAGGTGTCTGTCTACACAATATTTACTTCAGCTTTAAATGCATCAGCAGCATTCATTATATTAATCATTATTTTAATATTTAGAAGATGTAATTGCAAAATGAAAAGGCAATAGCAGAGTTAATTCCAAAATACACATAACTACATAACTTTAATTTTGTCTCACAAAGAAAATGCAATTGTATATTACTCAGAAATTGCTCTTATAAAGGCCAAACTTTACTAGGCTATTATTGGCATCTCAGTGTCAACTT